TGAAATGGGTCCAGTGGGACTTTTTATTCCTCCGCTTTTGCCTTGTGCGTTTTGCAAATAAGATGAAATTTAAATTACTTTAATTACATGGTCATTCTTCATCTGAGTGGCGGATCGAAAATAATTAAACCTGTGGATACTTTAAATTCGTTTCCAGATATAAATCCCATCTAGAATGGCCCGGAAAATATTTTCTCCGTCAGCTCGGGTCTCAGTCCGAAGAATTTTTTTGGCCGTTCAGAGTCTCTGGCTTTTGAAAACCCCCCCGACTCGATGTTCTTTTTCTCGTTCAGACATTTGACATTGATGAATGACCACGACGTTTTATTTTTGCGGTTTCATTTCGTGCCCCAGTGTGTTTATAATACGACATGGGTGGACGGTGCGTTCGGCTGTAACGAATGTTTTTCGGGTCGGGAAAAGTCCGCATTTTCGGAAAAAAAACGAGAATTGTTTTCCTGGCTTGTAAGTCATGTGGTTAGTCGGTTAGGCAGTGGATTAATCTGATTAGGAGCTAGGAGGCGGAAGTTTCGTGGAACGCCCCTCTAAGTTTAATGCGGTTATTGTTTTTGGCAAGAAATATACTTCAACTAGGGATCCGGACCGGAACCGATATGGACCCAAAACCGGAACGGAACCGTTTTTTTTGAACCGGAACCGTAACGGAATCCATATTTGATATTAGCACACTTAGGTGCTGAATCGGAACCGAAATACTGTATTTCGGTTTTTTCGGTGTTTTTTCGCTTCTGCTTGTAACGCTTGAAAGAAATTACTGTACATTTTACAAGAAAATTGAAAATAATCCTTGCTGGGTAATTTTTGGACCCTCGGTATAAGGTAGTTTTAGACTACAATCAAGTAGAAAGAGCCAAAGCACATTTAAAGTCGTTATGGACTAGACTGATATTCTTCAAAGAGTGCAATTCTTCTAATTTTAAATATGACTCTGACCAACACGATATGGAAACTGAACATCTAATTCATCAAGCGATGAAATGGAACTCTTTTTGAGACATAAAGACTCACAGCAAAAATTTTTAAAAGGAATTAATCAGCACGAATTTTCTTCACAAGGTTCATTTGTAGCCCTTAACAAAATTGAAAATATTTTAAATTCCTATAAAGTGGAACACAGCCACATACGCTTACGGAAAAATGAAACGATTTTTGATTTCTGGAAAAGAAAGAAAGAACTTAATCCCGAGTTATACATGCTTGCTCAAGTATTATTAAGCGTACAGGTAACTCAAGTTAGTGTTGAGAGGTTATTCTTAGGACTCAAATTTTTGTTGCCGCCTTCGAGGTCAAATATTAAAGAAAAAAATTTAGAGGAACAATTATTTGTGAGGGCGAACCGACTTTTCAATCGAAAAGATCAAACACCGTACGTCTATACACTATTTTTTAAATTCTTTTTTAAGTTGAGTTATTTTAGTTTTTCGATCACCAACAAAGAAACATTTGAAATTGAAATGTTGGACAAAAGCAACTCCTCAAAAGATGGTGAAGACATGAACCAGGAAGAACAATGTTTAAACGAAAATAAGAGTGAAAGAAGAGGAATTGACGAAGTTATGGACCTGAGTAAAAACGGAAAGAAGAGAAAAGCGCTAAAGTCAGAAAATTCATTGACAAATTACTTTTCAAAAATACGATTAAACTAAGTTTTGTATGGGAGTCTTTATTGCAATGTTGTTCCATTTGATGTTACCGGTGGATGAATTTCAATCCTTGTGTGGGGTTGCTAGTCTTGCTACACTCCTACCCCTTAGCATACAACCAGCCAAAGTACCGTATGAAGCAGTGGATAGTTTGCGCATCTTTTATCTTGTATAATACAACAAGCAAAGAAAAAGATAGTGAGATTCCTAATTAGGGTATCTTTGTCCTCGTTCGTTGTTATATAAAGATTTTGGAACCGGAACCGGAACGGAACCAAATTGGAAATTATTTTCTAAACCGGAACCGTAACGGAACTGAAATTTTAAATTTTGCCTTGGACCGAACCGGTCCTCAAGTTGTCCTCTATTTTTTAGGTGTCAGAATTGTCAGTCCGAGCCACAAGAAGTCTTTAGATAAATTGGATGACTTGAATTGAAAAGCAACATTTTGCATTTGAAAATACTTTGGGGTTTGGTTGATTCGCCATATTCCACATGCTGTTGTTGTTCCTCACTTTTTGCTTGTTATCACTTTTACTTTTGGAAATACATGCTGTTTTAAAATTTTTTTTTGCTTTATTTTTTCATTAGAAAAAGTCAGAGGTGCAGTCTAAATTCATTCTCTAAGAATAGTAGTAAACTGAAGAATTACAGTATTTAATTAAATCGTTTAAACCAGTTTTATTCAGCTCATAATTATCTTTGGACGCTGCACAAAGAACTAACATCGAACTAACAAGACAGATGAAGATAGAAGTGCCAAAATCAACCATACAAAAAAGTTAAGAAATAATGCATCATTTCTAACTGTGATAGTAATTTAATCAAGAGTGATTTAATGTAATGGAAAACTCTAGAAGGAGCGAAGCACTAAAGTGAATTTAAACTCGCACTGAAAATCAAATAATTGGAAGCTCTGATGAACCACTTTTAGAGAGAAAACTAAATAACAAGCATTGACTGTCTAGGCAGGTTTATTGTAAGCCCCAGTTTCTTTGAACGAAAAACTACAAAATCCCATAGCAATTATTAAAGGGAGGATTTTGTAAATGAAGTGAATACAAAATTGGTTTGAAATGGAAACTTCATTTTGGAATTAAATCAGCTCAGTTTTAGGGACTGACCAGCGATCAGCCAAAAATCATCTACTTGAAACATAGAAAAAAACGCCACACAGAACTAAATACAAATATAAAAATGAAAACTAAAATTTCAGTCCGATTATCAATGGGATGTCAACACAAACTAACTCAAACCTACGCCCCAGGCAAATACAAATCAATCAATGTAATTGTTACTAAGTAGACTCTTTTATTGTAACTGCAGTAATTTAAATTACAAATAAGATACTTTGTATTACACACATAAATTAATAGATCAAAAGGTTAATATACTCTGCAAGGATCAACATCATGTCGATGTAATTTAATTGTAGGGGAGACACGAATTGTTAATTTGTGTAAAGACAATGTTAATTGGGACAGCACTAGATATGAGTGCGCGTAAGCTGTGTGGGAGCAAAGCCTACAGTTTACAATAAAATGTAAAATAAAGCTCATATTTCTTTAACTGTGAAACATTTTCAACCTACCCAGACTTCCCCTACACTGATATTATGCATATTTAAATGCTTTTCTAAAAACTTAAAGCACTTATTTGCTCCTGAGTTTTACCACGACCGAGAACTCGTTGACCGCGTTTTGGTTCGCAAAAATGGTACTTTCGATTGAAAGATTTGTCGGGAAAGTGGCGGTTGTTACAGGAGCATCTTCTGGAATTGGTGCTGGTATTGTAGAAGCGTTAGTGTCTAATGGATTAATTGTAAGTCCAGCAAAATATATTTCCAGTTTCTTGGTACTCGTTAAAACCGAAGTTAATTTATGTGTTAAACAAGTCCTTGATCTTTAATCAATCATATTTATTGTGAATAGCAAATGTGTCAGCACGTTAATACCTAGTCAATTTTGGTATATAATGTATGCAAGGTTAGGCGGTGCTTTTTTACATAGAAAGTAAAGGAAAAATAGCCAAACATGTTGACTTTTGTCAGTGTTGCCCGGTTTTGATTATCAACTGGAAATGTGCTTCACATAAGCAGAGTGCATTAAGAACATATTTATTGCGATAAAGTTGTTCATGCAGTTCATCTCAGAGCTTCCCCGGGCGAAAATTCAAAAACTTATAACTGCATAATCGGCTCATTTATTAAAACCTAGTGGCTTCCATATTTCTACCGCTTACTTTACAGCCACTTGCAAACTCTGTGCCTTGAAAGTCAAGCTTTCAAACTTCGACTACCCTCATTTGAATTCTGAACTTAAATTCACTTCGATCACTTTCTGATTAGTCAATTTTTCATGAATTATCTATTCACAATAGTCTATAAAGTCTATAAAATGATAACAACTAAAATATAAAATCCAGGTGGCTGGTTTGGGACGAAGAGTTGAAGCTATAGAATCTCTTGCCCAAAAGCTGGCTGGTTCCAAGGGAAAATTGATAGCATTTAAATGCGACATGACTAAAGAAGATGAAATCGTGTCAACTCTTCAGCAGATTATCTCGAAATTGGGACCAATCAGTGTTTTAATCAACAATGCCGGTCTGTCTCGAACCGGATCCCTAATCAATGGCGACCCAAAGTCATGGAAAACTGTTTTAGGTATTAAGTATTAGCATATGAAAGTGTTTTTAATGAGAAACAGACAGTTACAAATGCAGTTATCAAACGACCAATACCCATGAGACTTAACATATTTTCAACAGAACAATAAATTTTCAACCCTAATAAATGTTGTAGAAACGAATGTTTTGGGCCTGTGCATTGCAACCAAACAGGCAATCCAGAACATGATTGCGAACCAAACGTTGGGTCACATAATTCATATCAATAGCGTAGTTGGTCATACCGTTATGAATATACCGGGATTTGACATGTATGGACCTTCCAAATATGCAGTTACCGCGTTAGCCGAAACTTTGCGATTGGAAATAAATAGAGAAAAACTACAAATTAAAATCACCGTGAGTATCAATTAAAAAATATATTATAAACAGAACGATGTTACATGGACTGTTACCGTTTTGCAGAGTGTCAGTCCTGGATATGTTAAGACAAATTTCGAATTTCCCATTAACGTGGATAATATGCTTGGACTAGAATCAGAAGATGTAGCTGATGCTGTTATTTACGCCTTGTCCACACCACCGCATGTAAATGTGAGTTACATTTAATTCAAATAGAACAGAATACACGCACTCGGATGCGAATAACTCAAATTTTCCCCTATTTTTTAGGTGTCAGAATTGTCAGTACGAGCCACAGGAAGCCTTTAGATAAATTCGATGAATCAAATTGAGAAGCAACATTTTGCATTTGAAAATACTTTGGGGTTTGGTTGATTCGCCATATTTCACATGCTGTTGTTGTTCCTCACTTTTTGCTTGTTATCACTTTTACTTTTGGTAATACATGCTGTTTTTAAATTTCCTTTGCTTTATTTTTTCATTGGAAAAAGTCAGAGGTGCAGTCTAAATTAATTCTCTAAGAATAGTAGTAAACTGAAGAATTACAGTATTTAATTAAATCGTTTAAACCGGTTTTGGTCAGCTCATAATTATCTTTGGACGCTGCACAAAGAACTAACATCGAACTAACAAGACAGATGAAGATAGAAGTGCCAAAATAAACCATACCGAAAAGTTAAGACATAATGCATCATTTCTAACTGTGACAATAATTTAACCAAGAGTGACTTAATGTAATGGAAAACTCTAGTTCTAAAATCAAATAATTGGGAGCTCTGATGAGCCACTTTTAGAGAGAAAACTAAAAAACAAGCATTGACTGTCCAGACAGGTTTATTGTAAGCCCCAGTTTCTTTGAATGAAAAACTACAAAATCTCATAGCAATTATTAAAGGGTGGATTTTGTAAATGAAGTGAGTACAAAATTGGTTTGAAATGGAAACTTCATTTTGGAATTAAATCAGTTTTAGGGACTGACCGGCGATCAGCCAAAAATCATCTACTTAAAACTTAGAAGAAAACGCCACACAGAACTAAATATAAATATCAAAATGAAAACTAAAATTTCAGTCCGATTACCAATGGAATGTCAACCTAAACTAACTCAAAGCTACGCCGCAGGCAAATGCAAATCAATGTAATTGTTACTAAGTAGACTCTTTTATTGCAACTGCAGTAATTTAAATTGCAAATAAGATACTTTGTAGCACACACATCAATTAATGAATCAAAAGGTTAGTATACTCTACAAGGATCAGTCGATGTTATTTAATGGTAGGGGAGACAGGAATTGTTAATTTGTGTAAAGACAATGTTAATTGGAACAGCACCAGCTACGAGTGCGCGTAAGCTGTGGGGGAGCAAAGCTTACATTTTACAATATAATGTAAAATAAAGCTCATATTTCCTTAACTGTGAAAAGTTTGCAACATACCCAGACTTCCCCTACACAGACATCATGCATAGTTAAATGCTTTTCTGAAAACTTGAAGCACTTATTTGCTCCTGACTTTTGCCTTGACCGAGTACTCGTTGACCGCGTTTTGGTTCTCAAAAATGGTACTTTCGATTGAAAGATTTGTCGGGAAAGTGGCGGTTGTTACAGGAGCATCTTCTGGAATTGGTGCTGGTATTGCAGAAGCGTTAGTGTCTAATGGATTAATTGTAAGTCTAACAAAAAGTATTCATTTTTTTGAAGTTAATTTGTGTGTTAAATAATTGAATCATTAATGTTCTCGCTTTGTTGCTTGACTCCTTGATCTTTAAACAATCATATTTATTGTTAATAGCAAATATGTTATCACGTTAAGACCTAGTCAATTGTGGTACATAATTTATGCAATGTTAGGCGGTGCTTTTTCGCATTGAAAGTACATGCGAATGCATCAGCTGGAAATGTGCTTCACATAAGCAGAGTCCATTAAGAAAATATTTATTGCGATAAATGCAGTTCACCTCAGAGCTTCCCGGAGCGAAAATTCAAACACTTTTTTTAATGAATTATCTATTCATAATAGTCTATAAAGTCTATAAAATGATAACAAATAAAATATAAACTCCAGGTGGCTGGTTTGGGAAGAAGAGTTGAAGCAATTGAAGCTTTAGCCCAAAAGCTGGCAGGTGCCAAGGGAAAATTGATTGCATTTGAATGCGACATTACTAAAGAAGATGAAATCGTCTCAACGTTCGAACAGATCATTTCCAAACTAGGGCCAATCAGTGTTTTAATCAACAATGCCGGGCTTTCCCAAAGAGGGTCGTTAATCAACGGCGACCCAAAGTCGTGGAAAACTATTTTAAGTAATATCTTTGCTTAAATTTACACCAGTTTTTTTCGAAAATATCGCGTATTTTTCAACAGATTTGCCTCCATTAATGTTGTAGAAACCAACGTATTGGGATTGTGCATTGCAACCAAACAGGCAATCCAGAACATGATTGCAAACCAAACTCTGGGTCACATAATTCATATCAATAGCGTAGTTGGTCATGCCGTTATGGATCTACCGGGATTTGACATGTATGGACCTTCCAAATATGCAGTTACTGCGTTAGCCGAAACTTTGCGATTGGAAATAAATAGAGAAAAACTACAAATTAAAATCACTGTGAGTATCAATTAAAAAAATATTATAAACAGAACGATGTTACATGGACTGTTACCGTTTTGCAGAGTGTCAGTCCTGGATATGTTAAGACAAATTTCGAATTTGCCAGTGGCATCGAGAATTTTCCAGGACTGGACATCGAAGATGTAGCTGATGCGGTTGTTTATGCTTTATCAACAGCACCCCACGTAAATGTAAGTTATCAGTATTTAATATAATATGTTTCTCTCTAGTTCTACTACTCAAAGTAAGATGCTTATTTTTGTGATCATAGTAATGATTAATAGAGTAAAACATTTTTCAACTCATGAGATTTTGTGGAAAGTTAATATTGTTGTTACACGCTCCGTTGTCAGGCATTTGCAAATTTTAAAGAATTTTTAGAGGAGCTCGATAACGTATTTTTTATAGTATTTTGTATCTGGTAATCTCGTTTTAAATCAAAATCAAAATTAGTTCCTGGATATCTACATATTTCGAATCTAGTTTGAGTTTATCAAAGAACAAAATACCTAAAAAAGTTGTAGATAAGTTCTATATTGTTGAGGCGGATTCATTTTTTTACAAACTTCTTTTTTGGTATTTCGCCTCAAAAATTTTTGTCTTTAAAAAAGACAGAATTTCCTCACGTCTTTTATTACAGATTGATAAA